ACTGAGCATAAGCAACAGCAGAGGACAGGCAGGCGAGGGCATGTGGGAGGCAGGGCAAGTCCCGCTGGGACGCGGTGGGTGCCTGCTGTGTGTGCATGTGTGTGCACATGTGTGTGCGTCTGTGCACTGGTGGGGGACAGAGGAGGCTGAAAGTTCAGCCAAGCCTTTGAGTTTTACTTGGTGGAAAGCAGTTCTATCTCCCAGAGGCACATCTGAACCCAAACCACCTTTTAACTCTCCATTACTGGATCTGTCCATCTTTTTAATAAGATGTTTTTAATGGCAGTGAAAGCCTGCTGTTTCTGATCAAGATGGACCAGTGGATGTGACATTTAATGGAAAACAGAGTCCAGGTCTGCACAGGAAGGTGAGTAAGATGGGCACACGTTCTTACAGAGATTATCCTGTAACTAGAGTGGACGGGTCTGGCCTCTGCTTCAGAGAATTTGTCTGTGCTTGGCTGAGTCTATCTATAAATACAGTCAAATTAATAAGCGCCAACATGGCCAGCAGGAGCTCAATGCCAGGAAGATTCGGGCTTTTCCAACAGTTTGCTGACGTGTCATTGCCATCAGGAAGTTTAAGAGACATCTATGGAAATAGCTGTAACAGAAGGTCAAATGTCCTAAGTGTCCTGAAAGGTGCATGTCAAGTGCCATCAGGGGGGGTGTTGAGTCCCTCTGGGGTGTGAGGGAATGACTCTATGGGGCAGGTGGTCCCACAACATCTGGGGTGGTCATTCTAGTTAGCAGAAGCAGCTTGAGCAAGATTCACTGCCAAATGGGGTGACAGCCAGCCAGCAGAGGGAATGAGCACTGATGACACAGGGAGAGGGGACAGAGTGTGGTAAAGGTGGGGGACCTGGGGGATCCTGAGGAGGGGTGCTAGTTGAGGGCGTGGGACCTGCAGTTCTGATCCAGGAGACAAGGCTGTGTCACCAGGCTCAGGAATCTCAGCAGCCTCTAAGGCCTTTGGTAAAGGAACAAGTTGGGTCAACCAGGTGCTCAGGTTGTAAGCAACAGAAACTAACTGTGGATGTAAGCGAAAGGGAATTTGTTGGAGAAATCTCCAGAATCACTGGGAAGAATGCAGACCTGGCTCAGAAACAGGCAGAAACCAAGGGAGCTTGTTGTGGAATGGGAGGACAGAAGCAGACACGTGGGAATAGCCTCAAGGTGGGAATGCTGGGATCACCTTCCAATCTTGGACAACTGGTCTCCCTGATCAAACTTTGCATTCAGCAAAGGGCTCAGCCTCAGGGCCTAGCATCAGCCACCTGCCTGACCTCGGCTCAGGGAAGTCAGGGCCCTGCCTACAGTCCCAAGGTAAAGTAAATTCCTGCAAGGAGACCAGAATGCTATTAGGAAGGGGCATGGGCGTGGGCGGTCCTGAGCCACCAGAAGCCACTAGGGATGCATGCTGGGAGAGTCCATGGACTCTGCCTGGTTGTGCAGCAGCGACAGACTGTCCTTCCCCTTTGAGGGAGCCTGTAGGGTGTCCACGTGCCTCTGGCTAGTGGCGTGGGGCTCTAGGCAAGGCTGTTCCAGTGTTCCTCCACTACAGAAAGCTCACATCCTCACCACAGTGGACCCACGTCACACGAGAGGGAACTGATGCCACGCCTTTGTAGGAGCGGAGGCAGGACCAAGTTCCAGCAGCTTTTAAAAAGAATCTTCCAGCCTAAGCCATTATTCTACCAGGAATACATTTGCTTCATGAAAACTGCAATAAAAGCTGGGAAAATGTGACAAGTTATGATAGACTGAGCCATGCAAAAGTGACAAGCCATGTGACAAGATGGTATTTTGGGGTTGGGGATGGAGTTAGAAATAATTACAGTATAACTGAGCACAGCTCCCCACCCCTCTCGCTGTGCTGCTGGGGTCTCGTGCACGTAGACTGAAGAGAAGAGGGAATCGTTTGACTCTAATTTCAAGCCTTGTTCCTCTAATGGTTCCTTGTGGAATGATGTTAAATAATGATAATTATTACAGAACCCTGTGCTTTGAGCTACTCTTGTCAACTGCAGCTGTGGCCCATGGGGTCTGCCTTTTCTCTCTGAGATTGGTTTGTAAGGCCAGTCTACAGAGGCTTGCAGATTATTTCCTCTTAAACTTTGTAACTATAATTTGGGTAGGTGTCACCGATGAGCACAGAGTTTGGCATTGTAGGTCTAACAGTTCAGGCTTTGCACAATCATGGAAAACTCGGAGAGCACAGCTGAACACACAACCAAGCCCTGAAAGATGGTCCTTGGAAATGCCATTCATTCCTACAGTCTATCCCATTAACACGGTGCCATTCAAACACTTACGGCTGTCCTCAGTGAAGCCCTGCTTTGTGCCAGGTGCCCTGCCTGTAGCTGAGGACATATAGGTGAACAGGACAGGTTTATCCCCTCAAGAAGGTCACAGAAAAGAAAACCATTGGTAATGTGGAAGGCATTCTAATAAAGACATACATGTGGGGCTTAGGAAGTCGAGAATGGACAGCCTGGAGCAGACAGGAATCTGAAAGAGGATGACGCTTGGGCTGGGAATTGAAGGACAGGTGGGAGTCAGTTGGAAAATAAGTCTTCTAGGCAGGATGACTTCATGAGTCATAACATGGACATGCAAAATAAGCTATAAGGACTAGAGAATTGCTGAAACAAGGCAAGACCCTAGCTTCAATTTTAAAACAATTAATTTTCTTTCTGATTATAGCATTAATAAATATTTAAAGATGACTATAGCTAAAATTTTGGTATTCCTTTATTTTCTCCTTCCCCATGCCTTCCCTCCCCTCCTCCTCCTTGCCCTTCCATGAGTGTATGCTTCCCTCTATCCATTTATCTCCCTCTCTAGAATTGGAATGAAACTGAACATATAGTTTTATAAGCCTTTTATCACTTGCTGATTATATTGCGAACATTTTGCCTATTATTAAATATTCTTCATAGATATTATTTTTAATGACTTTCACTATTTCATCATATGGAGGCACTACCACTTTTCCAAACCATTTTCCTATTGGGGATCATTTAGTTGGTTTTCAGTTTTTTGCCTTATAAGTAACACTGCAGTGAACATCAAAATAGAAACTTGCGTCCATCTTTCTGATGCTTTCTTTAGGATAAATTCCTAGAAGTCTAAGAAGTGGAATGAAAAGGTATCTTGATACACATTGTCAACTGCTTTCTTAAAAAAAAATGTTTATACCAACATCCAGGAAAAGATGACAGATTGAAGATGCAAATTTTACTTCCCTTGCCCCACTGCACTACGGTTTGTTAGGAAGGGGTAAACTTGCAAGAGCGCGAGAGAAGGACAGCAGCACGATCTGGGATTCTGGGAAGCAGATGGACCAGTGGTAACTGAGAGCAGATCTGAGAAGACTGAGTCCTCAGCCTGTGGTAGAGAAAACAGCCAACTCAACTCAACTCAACACAGCTCAATCCTCAAAACTTGCAGGAGGAGAAGGCACCAAGTGAGTCTAGGGAAGCCGTGAGGTGTTCCAGAAGCAGTTAGACCCCTAGAGCTGCAGCCCTACTCTGTGTGCTGGGCAAAGAGAATCCTCCACTCCTCTATTTTCCCAAAAGTTTGGACATTTGCTTTTTCTGGAGAAGGTAAAACCTGGGTGACTCTGCATGGGGCCATCTGACACAGTTAGGATGTGGGTGCTTATCACCCCTGATGGGCTAGCAGAGGTGACTGCTGGGACCCCAAGACTCTCTCCCCAGACTCCTAGAACACTGACAGCCAGGCTGGGACCTTCAGGCTGGAGGCTGAAGGAATTTTCTCTCGGGAGTCTGTCCAGCACATATCCTCAAAGGAAAGGCTGTAAAGATACTAATGTGTTGATATTCCAGATGAACTTAGAGGGAATTCATTGTTGACCTTCCCTATCCACACACTCAGTTTGTAAACAAATTTTTAGTTCCTCATATTTAAACATGTGAAGGTGACCAAGGATTACCAGGCATCTAAAAAAAGTCTCTAACATGAAAGAAAGCAGTCAAAGCAAATGATCAGAATCATTTACCACCTACCTCACACCACACACAGAAATCAACTTGAGATGGAAGGTAGATATAAATGCAAAAGGCACAACAATTAAACTTCCAGAAGAAAACATAGGAAAATATTGTCATGACCTTGAGGTAGGCAAAGATAAATAGGACACACAAAAAAACACTAATTAAAAATTAAAAGATTAATTAATTGGAGTTCATTAAAATTTAGAATGCTCCTCAAAAGATACCATTTACAGAATGAAAAGGTATCACAGAATGGGGCTTGATATTTACAATTCATACATTAGACAAAGGGCTTCTCTCCAGATTATACAAACTCCTACAAATCAATAACTTAAAACCAGCCAATAAAAGAAAAAAAGATTGCTTGAAGATTAAAAGCCTTCTAGAAGTGAAAAACCCAGAATAAGGATAGGAAGATAAAGTTGAGGAATCTCACAGAAATCGAGTGAAAAGATAAAGGGATGGAAAATAAAAATGAGAAAATTAGTGGACCAGATCAGAAAGTGGAAGGAGAGAAAATAAAAAGGAGAAAATAATGTGAAATAATTCAAGAGAAAATCTCCAAGGTGAAAGGACATGTGTTTCAGATGGAAAGGGTTCATGAATTTACCATGAATCCAAATAGAGCCACTTCATGAAATTTTGAGGCATGAAGGACAAACAAGTGACAAGCTGTCACAGAGAAAAGAAATAATAAACCCAATACAAGAGAACAAGCATATTCACAGAGTCAGGTGTCAGACTGGCTTTGACTTCTCAGCCTGGAAGCAACCTGGACACAATAAGACAATGAGTGATGCCTTCAAGATATGGAAGGAAAATGAATTCCAGCCTGATTCTATTCAGTCTACCAATCAAATCTGAGAATAGAATAAAATTACTTGCAGACTTGCAGTCTTAAAAAATTTATATCCCATGCACCCATTTCTCAGGGAGCTACTGTAGTTTATATTTTACCAAAATAAAATCAACATAAGGGCAGATCGGGAGACAACGAGAAGGAGGCAGGTGAAGGAGCCCTCTGGGGTGACGGTGAGGACGAGCGCCTGGGTCCACCCGAGCACCAGACACAGGGGCAGGGGGGCAAAGTGGCGTGAGCTGCGACAGGTCATGAGTGCAGGGCTGTAGCCGCCAAGATGCCTTCTGTTCTCACTCCATTTTAGTTTCCTGAATTAAAAATATTTAAAAACCTGTGGTAAAATATAGACAACATGGCATTTGCCATTTAAACCATTTTCCAGTGTACGATTTTGGTGGCACTGATTACATTCACAATGTGGTGCAACCATCACTGTTATTTCTAAAATTTGTCATCACTGTAAGCAGAAACTGTCCCCATTAAGAATGACTCCATATTCTCATGTCCCCCCAGTCCCTGGCAACCTCTGATCTATGACCTGTCTATGAATCTGACTATTTTGGGGGCCCCATGTAAGTGAACTCATACAGTCTTTGTCCTTTGTGTCTGGCTCATTTCATTTAGTATACCATTAATAAGTTTCACCAAGTTGTAGCATGTGTCAGCACTCCATTCCTTTTTCTGGCTGAATAATATTCCACTTGTATGGCCGACCCATGTTTTGTTGATCCATTCACCTGCTGATCCTCATCCTTGAAAACCTGAGGATGCCTGGATGAGCCTGACCTGTGTTTGGCTCCTGGGACCATGTGCCAATCTGGTGTCTGCTGCCTATCTCAGCTCAGGATATTCATTTCACTTCCCAGAGGTGCTCTGCTTTGACCTGCCCCTGATGGCCAGGGGTAAGTTATTGTGGACTCAGCAGCAAAAACACAGGGAGCAGCCACGGGCTCCCCACCCCAGACCTATTCCTGCGGGATGCCCAGGACATGCCCACTTCTACACTCTGGCTGATGACTTGACAGGGCTGAGCCCTGCTCCCAGGAATTATTCATGGCTTCTCCCAGCGACACCCCCAAGGGGACTCTCAGTTCTCAGGGAAGCTGGGGCCAGACGATGATGCAGAGACTTGTCCCCTTATCATTTCCTGGGGGCCTTCGCGTAACAGGGAGCACACTGCCCTTCCAGGTCACAGTGAGCCTCATGCTACTCAGGTTTCAGATTATTTGCTATTCACATCCATTTATACCTCAGTAGTTGTTGATAAAGTAATATTTGATTGAGAAAAAAGAAAGGTTAAATCAGCCTGTAAGTCTGGTCTAAGAAGAATATCTATTTCACCACGCAATACACATTTTTACTATTTACCCATTTGATGTGAGACATAAAGGTATTATTATTTTTTCTTTGTTTTGATTATTAGTGAGACTGGCTAATTTTTCTTATGTTTCTTAGTCATTCGTATTAATCTTCTGTTCTTCAGCCCATGCATTTTATTTTCACAAGCCATGCTGAGGAGGGAGGGGCAACTTTTCACAAGAACAATTCCTACTTCCTTATGGCTCATGCCTGCCCGTTGGTGCACTTCTAGAGGAGACAGGGCTGTGTGTTCGAGTCCTACACTCGAACCCAGTGACTGGCATCGAAGTGCAAAGCGGTGTGTTGGGAAAGTTAAAGTTGCCCAAGAAGTTACTGAGCAAAAGTGGAGGAACTGCTGCAAAACCAGGTGGAGAATGTTTTTCTAATCACATCCACAGTGAGCACAAGGGCTCACGAAGGCCAAGTCCCCACCACTCTGGTGGCTGCAGTCTGCATGTGGAGATAGAATGCTCATGGCATCCCATAGGGGAGGCCCTGGGGAACACTTTAACCTACTGGCCTGCAGCCCTGGGCCTTGTGATTTAGGGCAATATGCTGCCGGAAAATGTCCATGATGGCACCCCGCTGGTGTGGCGGGATGAAGACCAATTTATAGCCTCATTTGATTGTTCACCAAAGAGTTAACATCTCTAAATGTGCCTTTTATTTTTTTCTAAGTGAATTCTTCAATTATCATCATGTGTGTTTAAAGCAAGGAGATAGCAGATATGGACGCTTGCCAACTTTTGTGCCGCATTGTTAATAACACTGAATGTAATTTCTGTGTCCTGCAAGGAAATGGTTAAACTATGTCCCATCCACTGGGAAGAATATGAGACACTGGTTAAAATTAGGTTTACTGGGTGTCTGTAATAGGATAGAAACACGCTTATAGTGTGAGAGCCCTGTGTTCCTGTATTATTACAGCCGCACAAAAGAAATAATCTATATGCAGGAAAAAAAATGCTGGAAGGAAATGGAAATGGTACACTGCTTGTTCCCGTAGGTGAGCGCCCCTGCTTCCATCCCTCCACTCCTCAATTTTCTTTCCTGAGAAAGTTGCTTTCTCTAAGAAATGAGAGTTGTAGATGATGGTTACCCAGCCTTCCATGTAAAGGAGTGCGGACAGCTTTCTCCCAAGAGCTCGTTTCTCCCAGGTTCTCCCCGCCCAGCACTGACTTCACATACCAGTTGCACAGACATATTTGAGAGCAGACGTTGTTCCTTCCCTCTGCTTCTGTTCCCTTCTCAGACTCCAGACACTGGGCATTGTGTGGAGCACGTTACCGTCCGTAATGAGGGACCAGGTCCTCTGGGATGGCATTTGGAGCGCTAGAGCAGTTTTCTTTTTAGAAATGAAAATTGCTCTCCAGGAGTACAGCAAGCCCATCAGGGGTTCCTGCAGCCCGTCAAAAAGCAGTAGATCTCACGTTGCGACTTGCTTCTCTGTTTGTTTAGAGACCAGACCAGGTTAGTGTCAGACACCCGGATTCTCTCTTGCCGGTAGGAGTGTGAATTAGCACAGTCTTTCTAGAAGACAATCTGGCAACACTCAGGAAAAGTCTCATGGTTCTGCATGTCTTTGATGGCACGAGTCTACAAAGAGGTGTTTCTTCTAAGAAAATGAGCCTGGATGTTTGTATAAATAGAGTTGTAAAGTTGTCCATATGAGCAGAGCTTATAAAAATGAAAAACTGGGGACAACAAAAGCAGGTTGAATAAATGATGGTGCGTTCATGTACTGGCAGATTATGTTTTTGAAGAATATTGAATAAAATGGAAATTATTCAAAATACACTTTCATGTAAAATAATCTGATTATAGAGTGGTATATAACGACATGATCCATTTTGCACTGAAATACACACGTGTTCATTTAAAGTAATGGAAAAAATATACACAAAATTGGTGACTATTATTCTGTTTCTGGATGGCAGAATTAGGGATGATTTATTTACATTTTGGCTGATGGATTCCTTCATTCATCCAATAAATGCATGTCACCTGTGCTGCTCCGTGGAGCAGCTTGTAATGGGTGAGGTGTGTCCTGGGTGAGGTCTGCTGTGAGCTGTTCAGAGCGTGGGGCCCCAGCATCCTGAGAATCCCTCAGAGCCCCAAAGCAAACAGGCTAGGCCTTGGGGATGCAAGTGACACAGCATGTTGGCCAGTGCCAGGGGGCTTTTAGCTGGATCACTACTTACTCTAAAGGGGTTGAGAAAAAGAAGAAAGTCTGCCCTGAAGACTCTTAAAAAAACACATTTTTTCTAGTGGCCTAACTATCCATCCAATCACCAATCCAACCATTCATTCATCCACTTACCTGCCTATCCACTCATCCATTCACCCACCCATCTATCATCCATCCATCCATCTACCCACCCACCCATCATTCTGTCTACCTGTCCATACATCTACTCATGCTCCCAAATACCTATTCATCCACTCGGCCAGCCATCACCCACCTATTGACCCACATGAACATTTATCTATCTAGCCAGCCATTCATTCACCCACCTGCCCATCTACTCACCTACCTATGAACTCATCCATCATCCATCTATCCCTCCATCCTTTTATTTCTTTATTCATTCTACAAACACTGACTGGAGATCTACAACTTGCTAGACCCCAGATTTAGATGGTGCTGAGATACTGGACACAGCTCACCTTCCCGGGGTTCACAGTCTAGGTTGCCTCCTTCACTCACATAAAGGAAGATTGTTGGCAGCCTTGGTGTGGCTTAGTAACCAAGTGGCAACCTGGGGGCCCCCCACCAGTCTTACATGAGGGGTGGGGAGGGCTTGGCTGAGAGGGTCTGTGGGAACATGAGAAACTCGAAGCCTCCTTATAGACAAGGAAGGGGAAAAGGGTTTCGTGCTGGGACCTGGATCCTGTTCCCTCAGACTCCTAGGAGGTGGCAGGCCTGAGGGTGGAGGGGTGTGGGTGTGCCTGGGAAGACTATTTAAAGCCCCTTGTGCCCAAGCCCAGAAGTAGAGGAGCTGTTCTCTTCCTGGGTCCTGAGCAGCACCGTAGAGGCCAACATGGTCTGGAGACCAGATGGCCCTTCTAGGAATTTTCTGGATATTACTAGATGTCTGGGGTCCTTGGTGACTTTAGGGAGGGGGCAGAACTCCCCAAACAACTGAAATTGAAGCACCTGCCAACTCCATCCATGGGGCTCTGACAAGATTAAAATTGACTCATAGACAAAAGATTATGACATTTCTTGGGTTTTTTGTTGCTATAGACTGAAATTCTACCACCTACACTTAGTTTTCAGTCATCTCTCTCTTTTTTAACTGAAATACCATTGATATGCAGTCTTACATTGGTTTCAAGTATACAACACGGTGGTTCAGGAGTTACCCATATTATTAAATCCTCACCCCCACTAGTGCAGTTACTATCTGTCAACACAGGAAGATGCTACCGTATCATTGGCTACATTCTCCAACAGGCATCTTTCTTGATCATAGGGAGTGATTCAAATAAAGCCCTAGGTCAAAATGCGTTGATGTTTACAAATTTAGTAGATCTACACGATTCCTCTCCAAAGAGGTAGCAGTTTGCACTCCCACCAGCTTCCCTACATGCTCATCAGCACTTGATGTTATCAACATTTTCATGTTTTGCCTCTATGATGAGTTAGAAGCTCATTTATTCTAATGTGTATTTCTCTGACTACTGATGAGGCTGACAGTCTTTCCATGTTTATTGTTCATTTGCACCTTTTCTTTTGTGATTAGCTTATTCTAATTGCAGGTGATTCGCCTACAGACTCTCCCCACTTTTTGTGCATTCCTGTGAAGCCTTTCTTAATCACCACACTTGGAGTTAGATATTTGGTCCCTTGATACCTACAGTTAGCGGGGACCTCTACCGTCGTAGCATTTATTTTATCTGGTTTGTGTGTGGGGAGTTCATGAATTTGCTCACTTTCCACTTCCTT